CGGCTGCGGGGCACACGGCGGCGACGTGAGCCACACGAGCGTGCGAGCGTGCGGGTCACAGCCCCAGGTGTGCACGGGGGCCTGCGTGTGCAGCTGACACACTCAGCACTTGCACTGGCGTGGGCACACGCGTGCACAGAGACGGCTTGCAGGTGCACGTGGACACACAGCGCGTGTACCAGCCCCAGGCAGGTAGGAGTGCAAATCACACGGGCCCCGGCGTGCAAACACAGGCGCGAGTGCGTGCACCGCTGCAGTGCACGGCTGCGTGCATCTTTATTTAATTACTAAGGAGCCGGCTCTGTCCGGGGGAACCCCCGCCTCCGGGTTAGAGAACTTCCTCATTTGCAGTCCTGTTGTGAGCTGAAATTCCAGGACTTAGAGGTTTGCGGACAAAAGTCTGTATTTCACCTTTGCAGGGCGGCGGGTGGTTTCTCCTTGTTGCTGTGGGTTTTTTGTTGTTGTTTTTTGGTTTTTTTTGTTTTTTGTTTTTTTTTCTTTTCTGGTTTTTGTGCTTTGGGGCAGCGTTGTGAAGGTCGTTTCAGTTTTTCTTCCTTTTTTCTTTCTTTTTTCTTTCCTTCAGTTTTTCTTTCTTTTTTCTTTTCTTCTTGTGATCACTGAGGTTGAAGGCAATTTCTGGATCTTTCTCTTTCTCTCTCTTCTTTTATTTTATTTTATTATAATTTTTTGTGGTGTCCACGTGACCGCTGTCACACTGAGCTCCGCCCCCTCCTCCCTTTTCAAACTGTTTTATTTTGAGACGGGGTCTTCCTAAGTCCCAAGTTGCCCAGGCTGGGCGTGAAGGTGGGATCCTCCTGCCTCAGCCTCCCACGGTGCTGGGATGACAGGCGCCTGTGGAATCGCGGTGTGCACTTCTCACGTGCTGATCCTTTTCAGCCCCCGTCTGAGGGTGAAATTACAGGAATCTTCGACTTTCACGTGGGGGACTTTTAAAAATTGTTGCTGTGGTGCTGCAGAGATCTGTTCTGCCTGTTTGCTTTCTTCTTTCTCCTTCCTTCCTTCCTTCCTCCTTCCCTCTCTCCCTCCCTCACTCCTTCTTTCTGTCCTTCTGTCCTCTTTTTTTCCTCTTAGCTTTTTGTGACACTCAGAAACAAACCCAGAAAATTGGCACT